AGAAATGATTTTTTCACGATTTGGCCCTATTAGTAGTTGTGAAATTATTCGTGATAAGAAAACTGGAGATTCTTTATGTTATGCATTTATTGAATTCGAGGATAAAGACGATTGTGAAAATGCTTATTTCAAAATGAACAATGTGCTGATAGATGATAAAAGAATCAAAGTTGATTTTTCACAATCGGTTTCTAAACTTCATCAAGATTGGATTTCTACTAAAGTTAGGAAAAAAGTTGATGGCAGTAGCGGTGGTGGTGGTGGTTATGGTGGCTTTGAAGGTTTAGAAAAACGTAAAAGATATCGTGAAGATGGTCCTCTTATACACCCAAGAAAAAAATAAATTGCAAATTTATATTTTATTATATTTTTTAAAAATATTGTAGTGTCTGTAGTAGTTATTCTACATAAAATTAATATTAATAAACAATAACAAATCTTTTTCTAATTATTAATTAATAAATAAAATATGTAATGGTGTTATTGATTAACACATGTATTCAACAGTAGGTTTAAAAGTATATTTGTCATTGCCGGATCTTAATTTTAAAATAACTTTACTCGACCATTCTTGACCTTGCATTTCTATTAGTCTGCTAACAGCTCTTTCAGATGCAAAATTTTCATTTTCTTCACCTGTAAATATAGGATTTGTTTTGTGTTCATCATAACTTAAACCTAATCATCCAATAACGAATGCTTATGATGTATTGTTGTTATATAACGCATATATTAAAGTAATGAATCTTTTATGATAAATACACTCATTCTCTTATTTGTTCAATCAGAATATTTTTTTTACAAAAAAATTATGCTTCCAATTAAAAACGTTCGTAATATAATAACTCAAACTTTATCATCAAGAAACTTTTTAATTCAAAGACATCAAATACCTGATATAAATTCAATATTAATACTACCATCGCCATCAGCAATTCATCATCCCTAATAAGTCCAGAAGCAACGATCGTGTTATATCTAAAAATAGGACCATCTAAACACACGCACATATATAAAAAGATATAGAGAAAATAGAAAAAAAAAGAAAATGAATAGAAAATTTTACAT